GGTTAGTGCAATGCCCATGGACTACACCACCAGAGCTCCCTTGAATTGCGGTGATACGTAAAATAGGCTTTTGAGAATAGGAAATATACAAATGCATTTTAAAGACAAAAATAGTAAGGAAATTCAATTAATACACTGTTAACCTTTTAGCCATAATAAAAACTTGGTAATTATCTCTTGAAATAAGGAGTTTGCATGCTGGAATATATTTTTTTTTCTTAATTGAGATTTTAATGAATATTTATAAAGAACCTGGGTTTCCAGTCCTTCATTGTGGCACATTTTCCTCCCTGCGCCTCCCCTCTCCATGCTGGAATATCTTAAGGAACCCACGCAACCTCTTCTCTTTGTACAATATCTAATGCTACTTACTATCTACAAAAAGCTATCCATTACAGTATTTACTTGGTCTGTTAGGATGAATATGAAGAGAATAGGCTGTAAAAATGCCACAGTTATGGTCCCTAATACTGTCTCTCTTCACTAGTCACCATGTTGTGTACTGCAGAGTTAGAACTGACTCATAGCTGACCCTCCAGCATGGGAGGAGATTACCTAGCATTCTTCCATAGAGCAGCTGGAGGATTCAAACTGGGTGCCTTCAGGATTGTGGCACAGCTTCTTAGCGGTAGGCCACCAGAGCTCCCTAGTCACTATAATGCCTTGGTATTAATTTTGTTATGTTGCCAACTCTAAGGCATGAGGTTTGCAGCTATCAGCCACTACACAATAGAAGGATGGCAGTCTCCTCTAATGTGATTTATAGCCTCTGAAAATCCTCCTGAAGTTCAGCTATGCATAGGTTCCAGCTCAGCAGTACATAATAGCAACAATAATTGATAATGTCACCAGATGATTTTTGCCTCCCATAGCTGGATTAATTTAGCCTTAATTTACACTGCTGCAAGGAGGAATGATTTAGCAGTCAGGGCCAGCTATTCAAATCCATTAACTGCATGGATGATTGATTAACCTGGACTTTGATGTAACAGATTTCTGAGAAATAGATTTCCTCCAACTTCTTTCAGCCCATCCCTAACCTTCACTCCCACCCTCCAATTAACATTGATTAAAGAAGCACATGGGTGTATTTTATTTTACTGGGAGATAATCCTTTTCAAACCCAGGGAGGTGCAGAAGACAAGAGGGTATTTTCTAGTCATTCTACTGAAGCCCTTATGGTTTTTAAAAGAAAAGGGGAAACAGAGAGTGAGACCTTTTCTCTGTGAAACATTGATTTCAGGTGAAGTGCACACTCTGGGTGTGCCACCAACACTGGCATGTGAATGAAGGCACAAGGGTTAACCGTTTGAGTCACCACACATCCTTCTTCCAAATGGAATCACTTTTCATTTAAGGACTCTGTTTTTCCAAATTTCTTCTAACTTGTCCCTTAAAAATTTTGTGGGTGGTTTTGTTGTTGTTGTTGTTTTACATACAGAGCAAATGAGCTTATTGTGGTATTCTTACTTGTATAGAAGGTAGTTTTCTTAATGATTTAGCCCAGAACTTACCTGATTATGTGACTACAAATGAAGGCCATACCTTTTTTTAAAAAAAATCATGTAGCACTGGGCCAGTATTTTGTTCTGTTGAATACGGGGTGTACATATTAGTTGAAACTGACTCTGTAGCTCCCAACAACAATACCATATAAAGTTCTGGAGTAATATAAAGAATGTATTTGACACTAAAGTTTTGTGGTGTTTTTGTTTTGTGGTGGGTTTTGTTTTTAAAGCTACGACAACTATCCTTATATTACCTTCGTGATAAACTTACAGGAGAGATTTAGTTACCATGAAGTGTTGTATGTGTGTAAGAGGGGGTGCAGCTCACTTTTTTTAACTATAAATGCATGTCATCACCAGTTTAATTTAAGTGCTTTTTTGACTTTTAACCCTGTATCAGTGGAAACTAGAACATTTTCGGTTTGGACTTGTTTAAATCCTACCCCTTACCTGACTGTGAGGACACATACTTTGATCCTTGACTACATATTTCTGTACTGTTCATTCCCTTCTTGAGTTCTGATCTAACACCTTCGACTGCTGCCTGAAAGATTGGAGACTTGCAGGCAGCTGGGTGTTTGTATGTTTGTTTTAGGCTTCTGATCTGGTCACTCGGAGGTTTGGGGTATGGACCAGAGAGATCTCTGCCACGCTGTGAACCCTAAGGCTGCCCCTCTGGGGTTTTGAATCCTCTGGATATCAGGGAGAAAGATGGCCCTTCTGAGTGATTTAAATAAAGCCTTGGAACTCATTGAAGGGTCCTCTGGAGTCATTCACACTCAAAGGCAATGAAGTTTTATTTATTTTTAATCTAATCACTGGGAGCGGCAAGAAATTGCTGGAGCATATAAAGCTTGTCTCCGCTCTGTCCCATGTGTTTCAGTTGGTAAGAATATTCCTTGTACATCTCAGTTTTTTGTTGTTGCTATTTTTGTTTATTCTTCAGACCTCAGAGATACTTTTCCTAACTGACATTTTAAGGAGCCGCATTTCTTACCTCCCATTAATCTTTATCTTTCTTGTTTATTTGCTTAGAGCTCTTTTTAGGCATTCTGTAAATCATTTTGTTCTAGATTTGGGGTCACCCGCACTCAAGAACATCAGCCTCACAGATACCAACCTACTTGTGCTTAATATTTTATCCTTTATGCCTAACAGGGGACTCAATTAGAATGTACTGAATGAATTAAAGATCACTAAGTCAACTAAGAGTCCAGCTAGGGAGCTTTAGCACCTTAATGGTAAGGAGTTCTGCTGCCGACCCAAAGGCATACGGTTTGAATCCACCAGCTGCTCCCAGAGAGAAGGGTGGACTCTCATCCTGTGTGATTTACTGCCTCTGAAAACCTGCTGGAGGGTCCACCATGAGTTGGTTCTGACTTGACAGTAATATCAAGAGTACAACTTAAGTTACATTATTTGGTAATTGTGTATGATCGTTGTATAATTGCATTTTTAGTGTCTAACTCTCAAAAATACAGGAGATTGTGAATTCGCTCTCTCGCTGAGTGTGTGTATAATTTGAACATATTCCTACCTATTTACTAAAGTGAATCTCCTAAATGGCTCTATGACTAATCCTTTTGCTGAGATTTTTGTGTCTTCTCAGAGGTCAGTTTTAGCAAGTCTGAGAGAAAACAACTCTAAAAATGTTCTTTAGGTGCATCTTTAAGGCTTAGTTTCCCAGACTGTACCTCTTTACATGTTTGTTTGTTTTTTTTGTGTATTCTTAACTATGTTGGAAAGCTTTAGTAAGATACCACAAGGACCCGAGGTATTTCATCCCCACTGGTAATGGGTTTGATTCTTGGTTTTAATCTGCCTCCTGGAACATCTGCGTGGGGCAAACGGTGAATGTGCTCTTCTGCTCACCCTAAGTTAGCTGGTTCAGGGTCACTCAGTGGTTCCTTGGAGCACAGTCCTTACCATCTACTTGTGAAAAACCAGCCATTGAAAGTCCTGTGGAAAACAGTTCCAGTCTGACACACCTGGGCTTGCCACGAACCAGGTAGAATTGACTGAGGGCCAACTTGTTGTTTTTAAATCTGTCTCAGGAAGTATTGTCCCTCTGGAGTAAGTCAGAGTTAGCCAGGAGCTGGAACCTGTCACTTGCCTGAAGGGGGAATGAAGATAATGTTTGGGACTGAAGTTTGAGTTGTACTAGTGACAAGAAGTAAATTTGAAATTACTTAAATGTACAACTTAAACTTCTTGAACTAAAAGAAACTTTCAAGTTCCTATTTCTGAAGACATTTGCTGTCATTTAGACTCTCCACCATTTCATCATATTCTTTAAATTTTTAGAAAAAGGCCCAACCAAGCCTTTGAGCTATAAATTTAATGGTAAGGAATATCAGCAGGGGATTTGTGAGGGAAGTTGTGATTTGCCTGGCATGTACTGTGCCTCACCATGTTAATACCAGCATGGCTCTGTGTTGAAAAGTGATTATTCCAGTGATTGCACCTGGTGTGCCAACAATGACACCTAGGACTTAGTTTTCCCAATTTTTGGATGGTAAGTTAATTTTTAAGTCTGAGTAAGCCTATTAATAGGGTGTCCTTAATTCCAAGGTTTTTGGAAGAAGTAACTATTAAAGCCATAGCAGCATCTGTTCATCAGAGTAACATTTCAGTTGTTCCGACACAGTTTGACCTTTTCCTAAAAAAATGTTAATTTTAGTAAACCTAGTTTTTAGAAGTATTGTTCCTAGGGAACTTTGGTGGCCTAGATGATCAGAAGTTGTACTACCAACACCACAGGCAGATAATTTTAATCTGCTAGCTGTTCCATAGCAGAAAGATGGACATTCTCTTTCCCTGCAGCCTCTGAAAACCCATTGGAGGGTCAGTTGTGGATTGGTTCCTACTCAGCAGCAGTGAGTGCGTGTGTGTGCGCGCGTGTGCTGGGGGAAGCAGGATTGCCATGTTGTTACCTGATGGCTGTGCTTTTGGCTCTCCTCTTGAAAAGATGTATAATTGAGAATCTGTGTGGAAATTATTTAGTGCTTAAATTTTTTTGGTAAACATTTTCTAAATGGTTTATGACCTTTTATTACCAATCACAGTGCAGTTAAATTTAATGTCAAATATTAGTTATTAAATTGGAAATGAAGAGACTTATTTACACAGCTTGGTTTCTTTGTTTTTGGTGAGTATATTCTGAAATATAAAATTGAAGCCTAAGCTTTATAAGAGTCCTTACCCTTTTAAAACATATCCTTTTGTTTGAAAGTTAATTATTAATTGAAGTACAGTGAAGATTCAGATTTGGAGAAATCCCTTTGTTCTAAAGGCAAGAACTGATCTTCACCCACTGGTCTTGGACACATTTTTAGATTTTATTCATACTTCCAGTGAAATTCAAGAATTGAGACACGTCCCTGGTAATTTTTAAAATTCCTTTTTGTTTTGAGCTTCAGGATTACGTGCCTGAGATTGAATCACTCCACTAGAATTTGTTACTCAGCGTGGTCGTTTCTGTTTGTGTGTCAGGCGCTTGGATGCCAACCACATTACTTCAGTCCCCGAGGACAGTTTTGAGGGGCTCATCCAGTTGCGGCATCTGTGGCTCGATGACAACAGCTTGACGGAGGTGCCTGTGCGTCCCCTCAGCAACCTTCCCACCCTGCAGGCACTCACCTTGGCGCTCAACAAAATCGCAAGCATCCCAGATTATGCCTTTACCAACCTTTCAAGTCTAGTGGTTCTGTAAGTATCCGTCCCTGTTAATACCGATAGGGTTTTGTATTTATTTGTGGGAAGAAAACAAGATTGTTGCGATAAAACTATTTCAGCTCCCACTTGGTGTGAATCATTCTTAGAAGAATTGCTCTTTGGGAGATTGAATGTGCTGACTTTTAAGAATAGAACAATAGTGTTACATTATAACATTTTCTCTCCCTAAAATAAATGACCATTTTTATTTATGAAGTTGTGTCCTTCAGCAGACATTTATACCACTTTTATTACAAGCCAACACTGTATATACTTGCTAAAAGAAATGAAATAATTTTGAGATGCTCACAGAAAATATGTTCCAGAGATAGTTAATGATTTCATCTCTCTTCTTTCTCTCTTCAAAGAATTTAAGATCCTTTGTATTTTGAGTCTTTCATAACCTGAACTAATGAAATACATTTCCTTTTAAGTCCCTATAGCTGCTTCCTGCATTTGTCAGTGGGCACTCTTCCTTCATATAATTCTCCATAAAAGAGTTTACCAGAAATTTGCCTCAGATACTTAAGAACTAACTACAACTTTTATTTGATATATATAAATAAAAATGTTGTTATGTGCCGTCGAGTTGCCTGTGACCCATAGCGACCCTATGTACAGCAGCTCTGAACCCTTCCCTGTCCTGAGCCAGTCTCACTAATTCCCACACAATAACCCCCATTGCCCCAGTTACTGTATCAATCCATCTCATCTGGGTTCTCCCTCTCCTGCAATGTCCATCCACCCTTTCCAAGCATGTCCTTCTCCAAGGACTGTTCTCTCCTAGCCACGTGCCTAAAGAATGTGAGACTGAGCTTCAGTATCCTAGCCTCCAAGAAGCAACTTGGTTTCACCCTCTCTAAGGCACCTATGTGTTTTCTTGGCCGTCCAAGAGTCTTTTCCAGCACCACAAAGTGAAGGCATAGATGATTCTTCTATCATCCTTAGTCATACTCATCAATATCTGTACCTTTTTTCCCCTATTAGAGAATTTTTCTTTTTCTGTGGGGATTCTATGTTTGGTTAATTCTAGTCTATATAATGCATCTGTTAAGAGATAACCTTATGTAAATAGGTTTTGATAGTTAAGTGTTGAAATGTTTAGCTACACCATTCCTTTAAACTGTGCATATTGAGGGCTGTGGAACAATGATAGTGCATGCTTCCAGATGTAAAAGCCATTTCATGCTTTTTATCCCCTTCTAGGCATCTTCACAACAATAAAATTAAAAGCTTGGGTCTACACTGCTTTGATGGACTAGATAATCTGGAGACCTTGTGAGTATGTTCATATTCTGGGTACGCAGACTATGATGTTGTCAGTGAACTTTGTTTTTCATAGCTGGAGAAGGAAAAAAAAACCACAACTTTGGTCTGGAATTCAGCTCATTATTAATTTGCATTAATACATGACTGTATTTTTTCCATCAAAATGCCCAGTTAGAAGAGATAATCTAAATTAATGATTTAAAGTAGTATGCAAGCTTAAATGTCATGTTTCTTTCAAAAATACATGTTTAAAAGCAGATTAATATGTGAATACTTCTGAAATGACTTCTGACTAAGATGTCACAATTCTTTCTTATGAGAAAAATTTGTCTTTGTTTCCCCCCATTTCAATTCCTTTGCCAGTTCTTAACACTAACTTTGAATGCTTGTAGAGATCGCTTTTATTTGCCTTCCACTCCCTGAATGCCATCGAATCAGAATGGACTCGCAGCTGACTCTTGAGCAGGTTTTCGGAGGATGTAAATTGCTTAGGAAATCTCCCATCTTTCTCCCCAGAAGCCTCTGGTGGTTTGGAACCACTGCCTTTGAATTAGCTCAACTCCCATGGGCTAGACCACCAAGGTTCTCTTTTATGTGCTTAAATGCAACAAATGAAGGTTTTCCATTTTTGTTTATGATACATTTGTTGCTTCCACTAACCTGTTTTGAGATTTCTGGTTCCTTTGATTGCACATTGTATCACAATATGAATAATCGATACCTTACAACTGTACATAATCAAGAATAGTATCTTTATTTTTGTTTTCTCAATTTACATTGGTAACTTTTTTTCAAACAACTACAATATATTATTGTGTTACAGGAAATGAGTCATGAAATGTTGCAATTTATTCAGGTGGTTAAAGCCTAGTTGGAATGCTAAGTTACTGTGTGTGTGTGTGTGTGTGTGTGTGTGTGTGTGTGTGTGTGTGTGTGTTTTCTTTTTTTTTTTCTTAAGTAAATTTTGTGGTTAACTGTCAGTTAATGAGAGCACTTAAATTATTTTGTTATGGTTGTTGTTGTGTACCATAGTGTGGAAACCGACCCATAGCTGACTCTCCAGTGGGTTTCCAGAGGCAATTAATTGAACAGAAGGAGATTGCCCATCCTTGGACCACATCACTTTGGGATTGCAGTGTAGCTTCTTGCCACTAGACCTAATTCTTTTAGGACTATATATCTATTTTCTGTCTAAGAAATTTAAAAGACATTGAACATCAGTGTATATTTGGGAGTTGAAACTCTTGAAGACAGCATTTCATACAATGGTAGAATAGTACTTAACCATATTGGGCTGATAAGGGAAAAGTTGGTGGTTTGAATCCAACAGCTACTTCTAGTGAGAAAGGGAGCATTTTCCTTCCAGAACGATTTACAGTCTCAGAAGCCAGAGGGTTGCTGTGAGTTGAAATTGACCAGGCAGCATGTAAATGCCAATGTAGTAACTAGAAAACTCAATGGGTCTCCTTATCCTAGGCCTTGCATACCATTCCAGTTACCTCAAACTTAAATCTTTCTTTTCAGTTAAATATTTTTGGTTGCTGTTATTCCTTTGTAGAAAAGATAATGCAGTTGGTTCCTAAGGAGCTGACCTTTTTAATTTTAAACTTAATTAATTTTGAAATCCTATGCCAACTTGCTTTTCAGGTTAAGAGAAATTAAAATGTAAACATTCAAAATTAAGACTCATTAATATAGTTAAGTGTAACTCCTCTCTTTGCTAATAATTAAAGATTTTTAATAATTTGTTGCCTACCTGAAGGCAGAAATTGTTCCAATTCATTAACGTTTTTCTCCTTGTTGAGGCTAATGTCAGACTATCATAATGATTATGAGACTAGTGTCAGAAGCATCTTGGTCAGAATTTAATTCAGGAAGCCACTTGGAATACAAGCAGCATCTCAGTTTCTGAATGAATCTCAGTCTCATCATATATATGTGGATATTCAGTAAATTCTCAAACTTACCGAGACTCAGTGCAATCCCCTGGGTTTCAAAGAGTGTACAGTTTTAACAGGAGGACACAACCATCTTTGTGCTGAGGACCCTGTGGTAGATTTGAACTGCTGGAGATGTGCAGTCTTAGCAATCAGCACAACTCTCTGTGGACTGTGCCACAGAACACCCTGAGAAATGCCATTCACCTGATGACTTACCTCATGCGTCAGCAATGATTGCAAGAGTTCTTTGAACTGGTAAAATTGTCGATCTAAAAACATTAGAGCAGTATCTTTTTTTAAATTCAGCATTCTGAGGAAAAGTGCAATTCAATAAAATTCCACATGCTCCTAGTTGGTAACGAAAGGTAATAACTGGAGGATGTAATTTTTAAAGATGCATTTGTTCCAAAATATCTTTTAAATTGAGAACAACTCTGTATTCTTAAATAATTTTCCTCTTTTTGTGTTTCCCCAGGGATTTGAATTACAATAACTTGGGGGAATTTCCTCAGGCTATTAAAGCTTTACCTAGTCTAAAAGAGTTGTGAGTATTCTTTCTCTTTATGCCTTAATATCCTTGAAATTTACCTTTTAATGTGTCTTGTATGTGTATTTTAGAACTTCTTTGTTCCACTGTACATTTACAGAACACATACACATAATCATACAAATTGGATTATGTTAGCTGGCATGGACAGATCCAAACATAGTATAGAACTAGATACTTATATCCAAAATAAAAGGTGTAATGTGTAGTCTCTGCTTTAAGGAGCTTGCAATCTTCATCTTATTGGAAAAGCCTGCCACATATAATAGATAGTTTGGTGGTAGAAGAAAATACGGAGTGAAAGAATGAACAAATTATTCTAGGGAATGTGTGAAATTGAATTAACATGTATGATCCACAATGTATATGAGTTTTATATGCAAACCAACATAAAAATAAAATGGGCATAAGAAAAGGAATTTTATTACACTTGCCTGGAAGGGGAGATACCATGATCATAAAGGTGGTTTTTCTCCAGGGTAAGGCTCATCCATTGCACTCCAGATGTGCTGACCCCTGCAATTTTCCCAACTGTGTAAAACTAGACTACATTATTTGTAGTACATGCTTTCCTTTATTAAAAAAAGAAATTATTCTGGAAAATGAGGTTGTAGAGGCTTGCAATCATTGAAAAAAGATATAGAGGAGATTTTGAGCTTTAAGAAATGGAATTGAATGAAAGAATGAAGGAGTATTTAAATATTAAGATTTGTCACAAGCAGAGGTAAGAATGTGTATAGCATAAACATGTGGGGCATTGGCAGCTGATATTATAAGACACATTGCTTAAAGACTAAATGCAGGCAGTACTGAGAGATTTGAGGTAGAGGAGAACACTTTATTCTCTGCAATCAAAAGTTCTTCGATAATGAAATAGTAAATAAATGTGTCTGAAGACAGCTATGTAGGATAAGCAGTAGATTTAGAAAGAGATGATTTGGAATTCCAAATCCTTGCATTTAAATAAAAATTCCAAAATTCCTTACATTTGAAAAAAAATTACTGTAATCACTGATAATTGTTTTATGTGCTTCTTAGCAGCAGTAGATACTTGGCTTTTAATGAATTTCACAAAAAGATTGGCATTTCAAAATCTTTTTCTCTTGTCTTTTTAGGGGATTTCATAGTAATTCTATTTCTGTTATCCCGGATGGAGCATTTGGTGGTAATCCACTCTTAAGAACTATGTAAGTATTTTTGAAAGTTTCTTTTAATGTCTAATCATCTAAAGCCATAGCTATACAATGCCAAACGTCTGGCTGGAGGATAAAAAACATTCAGGCTTTTAGTTATATGGGCTTTGTGAACATGGACTGAATATAGGGTTTCTTGGGAACATATGAAAAAAAATTACACTTTTTTTTATCTTTACAGAAATTTGTATGATAACCCTTTGTCTTTTGTGGGGAACTCAGCATTTTACAATTTGTCTGACCTGCATTCCATGTAAGTATTGTGAATATTTAAAAACAAACCTGAATATTTAAGTAATAATTTAAATGGGGAAACAAGGATTTATTACTGTAAGCTCCCAAAATCAAAATTGTTTCCCTTTGTGCTGAAGCCAGAGAACTGCTCTGAAATATATTATGATTCTGGTAGGAACACCTGCCCAAATTGTCAAACTATAGCACACTTTCAAAAGATGAAACAGATTATCTTTTCAGTCATAATAATGCTGTGATTTTTAACTGAGTATGAGAGAAGATGAAAATGTTACTCTCTGAAAACTTACAATTTTTTTTTCCTCTTAATTTTTGTAAAAGAGTCATTCGGGGTGCAAGCATGGTACAGTGGTTCCCCAATCTGACTGGAACTGTCCACCTGGAGAGTCTGTAAGTGTGGTTTCTTTTAAAAGGGACTGTGTAAGGATGACTTGCTGGCCCACAGTGCAGTGTGCCAGTACTTTTCTGTAGTGATTTAAATTCATATCTGTTATTCCATTCTCCTCAATATGATCAACTATAGCTAGAATTGCATGTTTATACTGAGATGGTGTATAGTGTGTAAACATTTAGAAAGTTGTTTGGAGTTAGATTTTAAAATGACCAACCTGCACATTTGATCATGGCAATTTCCGTGAGTAGACGGATCCAAGATTTTGATTACTCCTTCAGCCCTCCAGATAGCTAGGTGGTACATGTGGTGGCTAGGGATGCCAGTCACAGTATGGTAATTTCCATATGTGCCAAATTAGAAGAAAATGGAAATCACACTGAACAAAAGAGTTTCAAGAAACAACATATGATCAGTAGGCAATTGTTATGAAAGAGGAAGTTCAGGCCGCTCTGAAGGACGTGGCAAAATTTAAAGCCCCAGGAATTGATGAATACCAATTGACATATTTCAACAGATGCTGCCCTGGACATGCTCACAAGGTTGTACCAAGAAATCCGAGGACTACTACCTGACCAACTGACTGGAAGAGATCCGTATTTGTTCCCATAAAAAAAAAAAAAAGACCCAACAGAGTATAGAAATGATCGAACAATATCACTAATATCACATACTAGCAAAATCCTGCTGGAGATTATTGAGAAACAACTAGAACAGTACATTGACAGGGAACTGTTAGAAATATAAGCAGGGTTTAGAATAGGTCATGGCCCTAGAAACATTATAGCCAATGTTAAATGGATCTTGGCAGAAAGCAAAGAGTACCAGAGGAATGTCTGTCTGTGTTGTCTCATTGACTCTGCAAAGACATTTGACTGCAGATCACAACAAATTGTGGCTAACCTTGAGGAAAATGGAATCCTAGAACACTATTGCTTATGCAAAACTTATACTTGGACCAGGAAGCAGTCCTTAGAACAGAGCAGGGAAGCACTGTATGGTTCAAAATCAGGAAAGGAGTGTGCCAGAGATGTATCCTGTTCCCATACCTTTTATATATGTATGTATACACACACACACACACACACACACACACACACACACACACACACAGATTGTTTGGGAAGCAGGGATTTATGAGAAGGAATATGGCATCAGGGTTGGAGAAGAGTCATCAACAACCTACGTTATGCAGATGATACAACCTTGCATGCTGAAACTGAGGAAGACCTTAAGAACTTGCTGCAGAAGGATGTTGCAGATGTGAATTGAAGGTTAGCATCAAGAAAACAAGGATTCTCACCACTTGGCCAATTGGTAGTACCATGATAGATAGACAAGAGACTGAGATTGTTAACAATTATAGCTTGCTTGGCTCCACAATCAACACTCTTGGCACCAGCAGTCAGGAAATCAAAAGACGAATTGCATTGGGAAAATCTGTTGTCAAGGACCTCTCCTGAGTACTGAAAAGCAACGATGTCAGTCTAGAGAACTAAGGTTTGCCTACTCTAGTCCATGGTCTTCATCAGAGAGCTGGACATTGACTAAGGATGACAAGAAGAATCGATGCCTTTTAATTGTGATGCTGGAAAAGAGGCTTGAACATACCATGGACTGCCAAAAAAACAAATAGGTCTGTCTTGAAACGGGTGTAAAAAAAAAAAACAGGGTGAGACCAAGTTTCTCATTGGAGGCTAGGATTTTGAAGCTTTGTCTTATGTACTTTGGGCATGTTGCCAGGAGAAACTGGTCCTTGGAGAAGGTCATCATGCTCAGAAGGGAGGAGAGACAGTACAGGAGAGGAAGACCCTGGATTAGATGGATTGATACAGTAATTGGGGCAATGGGAGTTGGTGTGTCAGAATCAGTGACTGATTCAGGACAAGACAGGATTCAGAGTTGCTGTACATAGGATCTCTGTAGGTCTCAGGTGGCTCGATGGCACATAATAATAACAAAAGGGGATTTAAGCTTGACTTTAAGGTGGTTTAGAAGTGTTGGAAATAGTCAAGCAAGTGATGTGTGAAAAGTAAGTAAAAAAAGATACTAGAAGTGAGTTGAATGATAAGGTGGTTGGGGAAATAGTCTATTTGGCCAAATGAACATATAGCCAAGCCTTAGCCCCTCACTGGAACTGCTCCAGACCTTTGTGCTTTGGAATTCCTCTGTGCCTCTCTGCTTCCTCCCACCATTCAGTCTGCTTAGCAGCAGTGAAAATAGGAAGGGTCAGAAACTAGAGATATTCGAGAAGGAAAGAACAGAGATTGAAGCTCAACCAGAGATGGGAGCATAGGGAAGAGACAGGAAACATTTTGAACTCTTGAGCCATGTTAACTAGGAAGAAAGGTAGAAATAAGATTTGTGATCCAGGATTCCATGATACTTAATGTTATAAATATTTTGATTCAGTGACTGGGGCAATCGGGATGGGAGTATCAGAGACAATGCGATTGGCACAGGACAGAGAGGACTTTAGGGCTGTTGTACATAGAGTCGCTATGAGTCACAAATGACCCAATGGCACATAACAACAACAACAACAACAAGGTGAGAGATCTTGCAGATTATTATGGTACAGGCTATGAATAAGAATTCGTGTTTTGTGTTCAAATATGTGGGAAATTCAGTCAATTGTTTGCACCACAAAGCCATCTCATTTCACTTCTCTCTGTTACTGTGAAGATAGTATCCATGTGGAGGGCTAAATCACCTTCCCATGTGTTTGACTTTGGGGAGTGAAGAGGCAACTGGGTGCATAAACTCTAGTCTGTCTGAAAATATATAAGCCGTTATTTTTCAAATCAGAATAGCATTTGTTTGCTGTCTTGACTTCGATCATTTCTCACGTGAATCCTGGTTTCCACAGGACCTTGACAGGCACTAAGATAAGCAGCATACCCAGTAATTTGTGCCAAGAACAAAAGATGCTCAGGACCTTGTAAGTTGGATTCTCCTTCTCTTATATTTTTGATACATAATGACTTTTAATTTTATTATCTATTTTTATATGGTAGTTTTAACTTACTGTAATGCTTTTTCCTTCATGGAAATGAGTAGGAATTCTGGTCGTCCAGAGAGTACGTAATGTGCATTTGACTGAGGTTTGTGTCTAAAGCACATTTTCACAGTGGCACAGGATAGGACATGTTTTCCAAATGCTGAGTCGTAACAACATAAAGCACACATCTTATGACATGAGTTTGAACAAAGTTCAAGGAAGGGAGAAAAAAAAGATTGTTGTTTTTTCTTAGCCTGATTACTTGCCTTTATTCTCCACCCACCCACCCCCCGCCCCCATCCAACCCTGCCTCCAATTTCTGCTCTTTCATCCATAACCTAAGTAGAGACTCAATCTTTCTTGATCAGGAGCCAACTGATTGTGTTTTTAAAAACATTAGACTGTTGGACTGACCTAGAAGTTATGAATAGATAGATAGGTAGGGTAGGTAGGTTGATAATGATACATAAATGTTAGAAGAACAAGAAAGTTACTAAATTGTCAGTTTTCAATAGAGAGAGATGGTAATAAGTGACTAATTAAACAAATCATTAAACAGTGTGATAAAGTATAAACTTAAGCAGTTTCCTTCAGGAAAATTGCAGTGAGTTAACTAAGAATTAACTAGTTTAAATTTTTTCTTTTACAGAAATACTTAAAAAGAATTGTGAATGTATATATTCTACTTCTTATATCTTTAATTAGAGATCACAGAAATGAATGTATTTTCTTTTTTTTCTATAATTATATTTTATTAATTTTCATAA